ATTTCGAGAAAGAAAAAAAAAAAAGAGAACAGAAAAGAAAAAATCAAAACAAAATAATAAATGTGAAGCATATGTATGTACTTTCAAAAGTATAAATTTATATAAAAACATTACATACACTTAATGAAGTTTCTATAAGTAATGTATGTAATGTTTAATAAGTACATATCTGGAAATATGTACTTAATGAAAAGTGAAAGTACTACATAAAGAAAGATCCATTTATGAATATCGTCTGTTGAATAAGTAAACAAAAAGGAAAAGAAAATCCATTGGAAATCATTTTGGAAGAATCGAACAAAAAATAGAGAAAAAACGAAAAAAAAAAGAAAAAAAAACACAACAAAAAAAGAAAACAAAAAAGAAATCCTATCAAAGTCCATTCAGTGAATGATTATTTATAAATGAATATACGGAATAAACTTATTTCATTAAATGCTAAAGCAATTTAAATTCGTTCGAGTGGTGTATCGTAGCAATGAAAAAAAAAAAAGAAAGAAAAAAGAAGAAATTAAACTGAAAAAAAAGGAAAAGAAAACGAAAGAAGAAGAGGAAAACAGAAACCAAAAAAAAAGAAAAAAGAAAAGAAAAAAAAAATTGGGTCTTCGTTTGATTGTTAATTTAATTTATTTTCGGACACCTAACTGTTCTATTCATAACTGAGCTACTTTGAGGAGGATACTTTCGGCTGAAGTTTTCTTCATCGGCATATTCTCGCACTTCTAAATCCGACATAAAGTCAATTTGAGATGAAAGGGATCCATCTTCAAACTTTCCAAATTTTAAGGAAGGAGATTTGTCCCGTTCATTAGCAGCGAACGGACCACCCCCTCTCTCTCTCACTCTCTCTCTCTCTCTCTCTCTCTGTCTGTCTTTCAATAAGGAAAGGAATAAGAAAGAGAAACTGTTGTTCGTCTTCCTCCCACCTCCTGTAAGCATTCCTCTATTAACCCTTGACACGGTGATATGAGAATTGAGTTGACTGTGTCAATGAGTGAGAAAACTTTTTGATGATAGAGATCAAAGGATTATATCACAGTCCTTTAAGTTGTTTGAGATTTTAAACGTGACTCATTTAATTCTTAAAATCAAAACTAAAAGGAAGATATCACATATAAATAAACAAATAATATTTTAGTATATTATAGAAATGCGATAAAACATTTCTTATCCTAATTAAAGCTTTCATTCGGACAAGAAAACAAAAAAAAAAAAAACCAGGTCTGATTTATTAGACTTTATCGATTAGCATGGAAATGGATTAGTTTTTTGAGGAATTTATAAAACTGAAATAAAGGAAGAAAAGGGACAGAAAGAAAGGAAAATCAGAAAGAAAGGAGAGGGGAAGAAAAAAGTCCATCCAACTAATCCAAACACAAACCACAAAATATGGAAATAATCCATTTTTTATTTTTTTGTTGACCTTTTATTTAGAAAGGAAAGGTGAAAATACAAGATGATAATAAATATAGAGAAGAATAATACGTCTGAGAAGAGAAAAGATAAGAGAAAAAATTCAAAGAGCTGACACAACAAAGTTTTTGCCTAAACTGAAGGAAGAGGGGTGGGGGGTGGGATTCTAACCTGGGATGATCTTTCGCTTTTCGAAAACAAACATTCTATCATCGAACTATGAAGATCTATATATCAAAATTTATATATAAATCGTCCTTATGTACAATACAATTGCCTAATGCGCACATTAAATTTTATACAATTATATCGAAATATTGTTTCTTCTGTTATCAAAATTTAACGTAATAATACATATATTGTATTATTGCAATGATAAATCTTTAAATGACGTTAAATTGATATGTATAATTTAATCGCTGTAACGCGAGTATGAATCCTTACGAATCAATTACAAACAGTTTTTACAAACTTTTTGCGCCATTTACAAACAGTTACGAAAGAACTTCCGAAGAAATTCGTAAACATAGATAAAAAAAAATATTGTAAAAGCATAATAATCAATGCACGAATGATGATCTATCAGGAAACACGTTACGTTAATTTCTTTCATTTATTTTTCTAATATGTCCTTACCTATACACGAATTGTATAAACCGTTAGTTTTTTTTTTCTTCGTTTTCTAATATTGTTAAAAATGTCCGATAAAGATTATATCTTAAAATTTTGTGACGTGATTTGCCTAAAATAATAATTGAACAAAAAAAAATGTCTATTAGTTTAACGTTTACCTTTAACAAATAAAACATGTGTAAGATATGTATATCATTTTTTTAATTGAAAGGACTACAAACAAAAGTTTTCTTTTTCGTAAAATGTCCAAAAAAAAAGTATGTGGTCGAAATAAAAAATAATACTTATATGTTTGTATATATATATATATATATATTATTATTATTATTATTATTATTATTTATTATTATTATATATAATAATAATAATAATAAATATATATATATATGTATATAATCTATAAATGCAATCTACTGTTTAATTAATTTAAATATCTTCAACTTTACTACATATTTCATTTTTTAATATTATTAAAAACGACTGATATATTTAAAAATCTTATCTCATATAATTTTCCTAAAAGAATAAAAAACAAAAGAAATATGTATAATTTAATATGTCTATAAATATTACAGAAATTTATTCAAATAAAATATATATAATATACTTATATATACTTTTTGTTTTTAAAAACATAATAAACATATATAAAAATCTATAAATTTCTCTCCGTAAAATGTCAAAAACAGAATGTGATCGATATAGATAATATATATAATAATAATAATAATATTAAAAAAATAAAAAAATATATACATATACTCATTTACGAATACAATCCACTGTTTAATTAATTTACATTAATCTTCAATTTTTCTGAATATTTTATCTTTGTTTTATTTTCTAATATATTCAAAACCGATTAGATATATTTAAAAATCTTATCTCATATGATTTTCTTAAAATATTAATTAGACAAAAGAAATACGTAAAAATTTAATGTCAATATGTATTACAAAAGTATTATTATACAAAATATCTGTATTTAATGTTTTGAGTTGAAAGCATTACAAGCGTACGTAGAAGTTTTCCTTTTCTAAATAGAATTCTAAATAAAATATTATATGATATCATAAATATCGTAAAATATAATTTTAATGTAAAAAAAAAAAAGAATATGAATAAAACAAAGAGATAATGTTTTTTTTTTTTTGACGTAAAATGTCTTTGAAATAAAACGTTGACAATTGAAATAACATTGAAAAAAAGAAAAAACGTATCGCGATTCATTATAAAATTTTACATGTGGTTTTGTATTGCATTTGCTATCAATGGGTTTAACACAATTAAGCAATGTGAAGTGCTCGTACGTTACTGACCCGAGTTAAAGCACCCACTTGTACCATATATATATATATATAGAGATTTTCTTTTATTCGAATATTTAAAATCTCAACTACAAATTGGAGGTAAATTTCACGAGAATATATTCCAATTTCTTTAAAAGTGCTCCAAAAGTGATTAACGTAACACGTTTCTACAATTAATATTACAATTAATTTTTTATTATGAAAGATTTCATTATAATTTCTTCTTATGCATAATTCTTATGCATATAATTTTCCTTCTACGTAAAAATAAGTATTATTAATATTATTATTATTATTATTATTATTATTATTATTATTATTATTATTATTATTATTATTATTATTATATATAATTTTGCATAAAATATCTTATTTGTTAATATTGATTTAAAATTAATTATTTATCAGCCCTAATTTTATAATGATTATATCAACACAATTCTTGATCAACTTTTAATGAACAAAATCTCATTTCAAGAATAAACTTTTAAACGAAGAATTAGATCTTTCAAATTTTGAAAGAATCTTTTTCTTTATGCATGAATTATTGTCGAACGTGAGAAAAAATAAAAATAATATTTTTTGATACAGTTTTCTTTCCAAATATAATGAAACTATTTTGAAAATTTGAAAAATTCAATTTCTCGTTTAAATCTTCACCTTTAAAATATAACAACGTTCATAAAAATGTATGAAGAATTACGTTTGGATTCATTTTTGGTGTAAACTGCTGTTTTTGACATATACCGTGATAAATAAGTTTGGTATAGTCTTTTGAGATCTGCGAACAATGTAACGAACCTTCTATCACCACTATCAATTTTTCTATACACAATAGATCAGTGTGTGTATGTATTTTTTTCCGTCAATTATTATAATCGATTACTTGTTTGTTTGCATGTGTAAAATCTTGTTCGGATTTTCTAAACGCAAGGAAAAATAATAATAAATTGAATACTTATACGCATTATAGTACATTATTTTAATAAAAATCATAGTATGAGTTAATTTTCACATTCTATTGTATATGAGATAAATCAACCAGACAAACTATTTTTTTTCTCTATTACGCTAATCTTTTTATATTTATTATTATTACAACTATAATAATAATAATAATAATAATAATAATAATAATAATAATAATAATAATAATAATATATAATAGTATAATATAATAATAGGAATAATGATAAGAAAACGAAGAAGAAGATAAAGAAGTGGAAAAAAGTATATATTTAAATATTATACACGTCATATACATCCTTGTATTATTTATTTATTTATTTATAATAATAGAGGAAGAAAGAATATATTCAAAAAAAAAAAAAAAGAGAAATATTTTGCAAAATTTAGAAGTAAATTTGTCAATTTTCGTCGCTTATATTTCTTTATTAGATACAGTGAGTGTAAAGAAATATTCACACAACAGTAAATTTAAACAAAAACTTTGTAGAACTTTTTTTATTACGAAAAAAAAATGTTAACAAAAAATATATTTAAAAATTCTTCAAACGAATGTTATCAAAAAATAATTATTTACTTATACTTGTTATGAAAATATTAACGACTTTCAAGAATTAACAAAAAATGTATACGTAATAATATATTCGTATAGTCCTTGATTCGTGACATTGTACATAAGATAAATACAAGATAATACATTTTATGTCAATACATTTAGAGAATCAGTATGTCTGGAGACGTCGCCGATACAAATAGTGTTCCAGATTTATATATAATCAACAATGATAATTATAAAATGGTACGTAAAGACAAGGAAACCATTAAAGAAAAAAAGAAAATTCTTATAAATTTACTTATTAAAAATTCTTATAAAATTACTAATAAATGCAAAACATTAAGTGAAATTTATAAAATTATAGATGAGATCATGGTCTATGAATTAAGGAATTATTGAAAAATATGGAGATCAAAACTTTTTAAAAAAAAAATAATCGATAGAAAGTAAATGCAAAATAAGTGAGTATATTAGACGATGAATAATTTCAAAAGTAAAACAAAATCTAAATAAATGTAATAAACATAACTATTAAACTTAAAAATAATCTTAATTTTAATATGTTCAATAGTACAGTACGTAGAAATGATTAGAATTTTCGAAAGATTAAATCAATATTCCTATGAAGTATTGAAATCATTATTATATTTACTGATGAAAGTATATTTAACATATCGAATGGATGATATGCTATTTGGAAAGAAAAAAATACTGAATATATGTAAAACTATTTCTAAACGTCCGTAAATCATGAAAGAGACTCGATTACAGTTCGAAGTTGGATAAATGCAAAAATATTTGAATTTTTCTATTTTATTGATGATAACATAACAATTAATATTAAATATTTTAAAACAACATCTTCAAGGTAATACAAATAAAATTGGATTACAGGACAATTATATATCATTTTACAAGATAATAATCTAAAACTCGCTTACAATATGCGACAATGAATCTTATATGAAGTATCAAATTATAATAATGAAAAATACCATACATAATCTCCAAGACTTGAATGTTAATTCTCCCCAAATACTTATGGGTTTATGTCAAAGAAAAAATAATTTCTAATGTTAAAACTTTTTTGTTACATTTATGTATTAAAATGTGTAATATTTTTTTTTTTTTTTGTAAACGTAGAAATGTACGAATAATTATTATCCCGTACATTTTCTGTTAATTTTTGAAAATTTGTTAATATTTTCATTACAAATATAAATAAATAATTCTTTTTTAATAACATTAGTTTTACAGATTTTTAAGAATATATATATATATATATATATATATATATATATTCTTTTTTTATCAAAATTTTTTTGTAGTAAACAAAGTTCTACAAAATTTTTGTTCAAATTCATTGCTGTACGAATAATTTTTACGCTCATTGTATATTATTATCTTTCGATGAGTTAAAAAATTAATCGGATAATCATTTAAATTTCTATGATAATGGAGCTTGTTCACAGATATTTACGTTTTATCGCTCGTTAGCAATGACGTCAAAACAATTCTTGCAATCCGATTGGTTATCCTTAAGAACCGTAGCAATAGAATTTCAACACATTGAATATTTCAACCGTTACTGTTACTTTTACGGCTACTTTTACGGAGTCTGAATCGAGTTAAGCGATTGGTCGTAACTTTAATGTTACTGTTACGAAAAGTTTCTGCGATCAGAATGGTACATACTAATTAGCCGTTTTTCCTTTTATTTTCGTTTCTTATCTCCTCTTATCGTAAATACATACCTTCTTTTCTATTTCTTTTTTCTTTTTTTTTTGTCTATCCTTATTACATTCGTTATCACCAGTTCAGAATACTAGCTTTTCTTTCTAATTCCATTAATTTGCGTCTATCATCGATTTTATTTTCTTCCTTATCGATTCTCACTTATATAATTAGTTATTAATTAATTTTAATAATATGAAATTGATATGAAGAAAAATGAAAATTCGCTGATTGATCATCGATATGTTTTTCTTGTTATGGGAAAGATAAATAAATAAATCTAAAAACAATTAATTGTTTTGCAAAATATTTTATTTCGAGAACTTCAAATAAAATAAAAGTCAGAAAATGGTCTGAAGAAATAGCTATTTTACAATTGCGTAACAGATTTTATCAAAGTAAAGAATTGTTCGGATAAATTGTTTAGATTTCTTGTTTAGAATATTCGTTTTTAGATTGTACAAAAATAAAAATACTCGCGAATAAAATATCCTTACGAGCATCGATCTATGATCTTGCAAATAACAAAGTTGACTTTATCATTATAACTATTATTTTTTATACTTTTTTTTTTTTAATCTTTACTAATACAACGTAGAATATACGTAATGTAGATAATATTTTAAATTAGCTCTCAATTTTAATCAGGTTGTTAAGACTTGCTATGTTAAAATCGGATATATGTCGGAGTCTGTTATTTTGGAAAATATCTAAAACGTAGAAAAAAATATTCGTTCATGAATATAAAAAAAAAAATTAAAAAGAAAACTACTGAAATAAAATATGTTTTAATATATATATATATATAATTTTTTAATTGAAAGCATTATAAAAATATATAAAATTTTTTCTACTTGTAAAGCATATAATTCTGACATTAAAAAGGAATGTAACCGTGACAAAGAGGCAATGTTTTCTTTGACATAGAAAGTCTTTAAAATAAAATGTTGTCAGCAAAAAAAAAAAAGAAAGAAAAAAAAAGAAAAACAAAGAAAAAGTAGAAGAAAGAGAAAAAAGGAAATGAAGAAAACGGGAAAAAAGAAAACATGGAGAAGAAAAAACGTATCGTTGTTTATTACAAAGTTTTAAAGGTTAGTTTGTATACTATGTAATGTTTATTTAGTTTGCTATTAGTGACTTTAGCGAAGTAGGCAATATGAAGCACTCGCACTGGCTCGGATTCAAGTATCGCTCGTGTCGTAAATATTTTTTTTTTTCTTTTTCTTTCCTTGTTTATATATTTTTTTTCTTTCTTTCTTTCTTTCTTTCTTTATACTCGAAAACATTTGAAAGATATTTTGGTCAGAAATGGAAGACAAATTTAACGAAAATATATTTAACCTGGCTTATAATATAGTTCGCTTTAAAAGTGAATGAACCAATTAAGTTATTGCAATTAATATAAGAATAAATAATAATGAAATTTTTCATTTCGAAAAATATTTCAATATAATTAATATTTAAGAAATAATCCTTTTCTTTCTGAGAAAATAAATATTATCGAATAATCTTTCATAATTCATGATTTTAAGATGAAATAGAAAAATATTAGAGGAAATAAAAATAAATTAGTTGAATCCTGACAAATGAAAATAAGAGAAATCTTTATATATATATATAAATTTTTATATGTAAATTTTTATACAAAATAAAATTCACTTTCCTCGGTTAAATCCATTGAAATCCACGAAATTGGAACAAACAATCTATTCGTGAAACATTAATACCAGATTTTCTCATAATACCAGAAGCTGTCGTTGAATGAAATGTTTGTTTTCTTTCGTATTCTCATAATAAGGACAAATCCCTTTAGAACATACCTGAGGCGCATCAAAATCCATTTGTAACATGCTCGATGATTTTCAATTAGATAAATTGCATGACTCCTTTTCGTAATCGCTTAAGAGCGTTCAAAAAAAAAAAAAAAAAAAAAAAGAAAAAAAGAAAAAAAGAAAAAAAACTATACAATGAATTTTACGATATAAATAAACATAACGTTTCATTTATTAATCGAAATTAACTTTTAATTAATAATATTCAATGCGATTTATTGATTTATTAATAAATACAAAAAATTTCTCTTTTTTTTTTATTCTTTTTTGTTCTTCCTATCAGATAATTTATCACGTTATTATTGTATTGCGAATAATCTAAAATATTTTTTGTAAAATTCGAAATTTCATTCTAAAAGTTTCACATAATTAAAGCAAGTCTCGTTACACGCTTACTTCCATATAATTATATCAAATATCGTGATTTCGCTCACGAAGGTATTTTGTTTCTTTTTTCTTTCTCTCTCTCTCTCTCTCTCTTTTTTAATTATTTTATCGAAAATAAAAATCTACATTTCCGTAACAATTAGTTTTAATAAACCAAAAAAGGGAACACAGCATTGATATATATATATATATATATATATATATATATTCGCATTAAAAAAAGAAATATCGATTCAAATTTAAATAAAAAAGAAAAGAAAAAAATGGTAACACAAAGAACACTTTCTCTTTTCCTTAGCATTGATTTTAACAAATATAATAACAAATATAATACTATACGTGGTTTAAAGAAAAAAAAAAAAAGAAAAAAAAAGAACTATTCTTTTATATCACTTTTTTTTTTCTATTTCTACACTGTTCCTTATATTATTGTTCATAAAGTGATAAGGTCAGAAGTAAGATTTTAAAATGTGACGACCCCGTAGAGAGCAATGTCCAAGTTTTCCGTCTTAATGCGCCTTACGTTAAATACGCCCCTGAACGCATGGAGACATCCAACGAGACAGTTACAGCTTATAGTTCGCGAATCTTTCCTATATTTTATGGAAAAACGACGAACTCATTTAGATTTAAACCTCTTTCGGATTATGGCGGATGAAGAAGAAAAGAAAAGGAAAAGGAGATAAAAGAAAAACAAAAGAATAGAAAAGAAAGGAAAGGGGGAAAATATACGAACAATGGCGACGTACCATGATCACTTGGGAATCCTCCTACGCTTTGAGACTTTCAACTCGGACGAGATAAAGAGAGAATTAAAGAAAGAATTAGAAAATGTGTCTAGTAATAAAATTACTTCGTTCTCATTATGTAAAACTGTTTTTCATTCTCGTAAAACTAAATTCTTCGATTCAACTTCATTATATATATATATATTATATATGCATATATACATACATATATATATATATATATATATATATATATATTAAGAATATCATCTAGTAAATTATTAATATTGTTTAATTTATATATGACAAATAAAAAAAAAAAAAAAAAAAAAGAAAAATAAAATAAGTGACATAAAACTTATCGATAATAAAAGATAATAATATTATAAAAGAAATAATCGTCCTTTATATAGATTTCTCACAAATATTCTAATTAACATGTATAATATCATAATTTTCTCTCTCTATCTTGAAACAAACAAACATAGTCAAGTCGTATCATCGGTGATATACCGGTTAACATTTGTTTTTATTTCGTCGATCTATTTTTCGCATTATTTACTAACGAAAATAAACAAACGAAAATGAGATTATTCGTTAATATAAACATTCTTTATACCATACTCTTGGGGAACCCTTTGTTCTACGTGTACATATCCAAATAAACACATTACCTTTGTATACATTCGCAGATTTTATCACGTAACTCTTCTCATAAGCTGTAAGGACGAATACGAGCTATTTACAGTGAACATACACACAAACACAACACACACATACACACAAATACATAGAGAAACATCACACTATGTATATATATCTATGTATGTATGTATATATATATATATATATATATATATATATATATATATGTATGTATGTATGTATATATAACTATACATATCTATAGACACACACATGATAGATATATATGTAAATGTACAATATTTCATCCTTGACTAACTGTTAGTTCGTGACTTTTATAAACAAAGAAGATTCACGCGTTTCTCCTTAACCTACTTCAATAT